GAAACCGCACGTGTTGTTTCTGATGATTACCAAATAAATATATCGTTTACTTTTGACTTATAGATAGGGTGACCATAATTTTTCAACAAAAAAAAGTACATTTATAATTTTTAAGAAAATATGTACACTGTTAGTGCCCTAGGAAATTTTTCTGGTCAAAATTTTACAAATCTTTAATGAAACAATAAGAGAATAGGAACGATTTTTTTAATCAAACATAAGTACATAAAAAATGTATGATAAATTTTAATAGTTAATTTTCTTTCGACGTTCCTTCCTGAACATCTTGATCATCATTTTGGTACCAGTCATCCTTTTTGGAACTATAAATTTCCTTCAGAAGTTGTGGTTTACTCTTTAAGAACGGAAACATTTCATTGCACGAGACTTTGAAGTTTGTATAGACTTACATGATGGCTTCCAGAGTAGATATTTTCAACTGCGATTTTGTTGGGACTCCAATAGTTATTGATATTTGAGAATAACCGCTCAATCGATGTACTGGTCCCAGACAGACGAAAAACAAACACACATAGAATTTTGAGATTTTTCAAAGCACTTTCTTTTTGAAAGATTTCGAGCCATCGATCTTCGGTAGAAATATTTTTCGAATTCCAGTCTGCGATTTTATCTTCTGTAACGTAGGTTCGTATTAGACTAACTTCATCAAACAGTTCGCCCTGATTCAATATCGGACCTATGTATTCTTTGAAAGCCTCATACGATAATAAAATTTCAGCCCAAGAAACTTGTTTTTTCAAGTTAACCCATCCGAATAGCTTAGTTCACTTAAATTTTCACTCCAGTTTTTTAAATATATTACACAATTTGAATAGAACTGCTTGACATGCGTGATAAAGATATCCCGATAGTTCACACTAAGGTCAAGGTCTTCCATATTTTCAAGTTTTGAAAGTGACTCTCTTACTTTAAGCGGTAAAAATAACTCATTTAAGCGATTTTGAAGCTTATTATTTATGATTTCGCAATACTCCAAAGCGGCTTCCGTTGCGCATATTTTGTCACCTTCTACATCTAAAATCACTTTGTGGAAGAGAGACACAATGTTATGCACAAACCACATCCATGCTTCACTGACTGGGTTTTGAAAAAACTGTTTTAGAACTGTTGGACAATTATCAATCGATAAAAATATGCTTTCAAGGGTTCGAACATTTGTATAATCCATTCAATGGCTCAAAAATCTTGTTTTTGAAAATGACATTTCTGCTCGATCGATTGCTGCTAAAGATAGGAGATTCTGATTTTTCCGCTAAAGATCGATTCTTGAATAAATTCGAATCATAATTATATTTTGTTTGGACAAAACAAAAAGTAGGACTTAATTTTGTGTAATTAAGACAAAGAGTATATTTAGGTGTACTTCATAAATTTTAAAGTACAATAGGACAGCGTTTGAAAAGAAACTACGGTCCTACTAAAAAAAGTACATATGGTCACCCTACTTATAGATAAGTTAAATATGGACATATCTTACAAAAACCGGATTTACGGAAAAATGGACATGTGTTGTTTCTGCATATAGCGATTCAAATATTATTGATTTTAAATTATTTTTTTGTTTGTTTTATTTTGTTGATATTGTAAACACGGTACTAAATGAAGGTAGAAATACAAATAACTAAACTTTGCTAGACTATCTCAGAATCCTTCTTTTTTAAACACTTACACACCTAATACTAAGACACTCTAGTAAAAGATATACAGGGTGAGTCATGAGGAACTTTATAAACTTCTACCATATGTAGAGTCCCTCAGGGAGCATATCATGTGGCCACTAAAAAATGTCAACCCCTCTTCTTTATTAATTAACAGGGTGATTTGTGTAATTGACCATTTATTTCATTTTACTGTAGTGTGTATACGGCTCATTTGATTTTTTTAATTTTTGCATGATACAGTACACTACTATCAAGCATTCGACTGGTATTAGCTAAACTAAAAAATTCCAGGACTGGCTTTGGAAAAATTCATTTAGGGATTCGTATTAAATATTACACCCTGTATATTTTTTTTTTAAATGAAATAAGTGATTTTCAAACTACATAAATAGCCAATGAAAACGACATATTCGACAATGTTGTCGTACTTTTATTAAATTTTTAGTGAACGATCAAATCTTACCAAAAATAGAACAACCATAATGCAGTATCAAATTATAAGGTAATTAATTTAAACAAATGTTATAAATTTCAAACATTGTGTCACTGCACAACATGTGCAGTGACACATGTCACTGATATGTGACATGATAAACTGAGTCACTGCACAACAAAAAACAGTAACTACTAACAATAACGAAGAACAATTTAAAAAAAAACTAAAAATATTTACATAGTTATGATAAACCCATAAATTAGAACTGGAAAAGATACAATTATGGTAACAAAATAAAAATAATTCAAAATAGATTTTCGAAATGGAACCCTGCAGCCTGTACACATTTTTGTTGCCGAATTGTTAATTGACGTATTAAATTACGGATACTCTGGGGATCGTTTCTAATAGTATTACAACAATGTATAATTCTATCAATTAATTGTTGTCGGTTATTAATATTCACTGCGTAAACTAGTTGCTTCAATCGTCCCCAATTATAGTAATCAACGGGATTGAAATCAGGGGATCTTGAAGGCCACGAAATAGGACCTGCACGTCCTATCCACCTGTTGCCATAAACATTATTGAGATGTTGTCTCACTGCCAGTAAAAAGTGTGGGGGTGTCCCATCATGCTGAAAATACATCCCTCGGATAGCAACGTTCGCGTTGGCAAGCAAATTCGGCAAAATATTTTGTAGAAAGTTCAAATAGACCTGCCCTGTTAAAGGACCATCAAAAAAGTGAGGACCTACTAATTGGTTATTTATGACACCAATCCACACGTTAACCCAAAAACCTTAACTGAGAACGACATTCTCGAATAGCATGGGGATTTTCTTCTGCCCACACATGTGAATTTCGTGAATTATTTATCCCATCTCTGGTAAATTGGGCTTCATCTGTAAATAGTGTCCTGTATAGCGTTGGTCGATTATTGTTAATCCATCTACAAAATTCCAACCTATCGATCTCATCTCCAGCATGTAGTCGCTGAACCATTTGAATGTGATATGGGTATAGATTATTTTTTTGTAAGACTCTACTTACTTTTGATTGAGTAACATTGAGTTCTCGACTTACTTGTCTAGTGCTTATTGTAGGGTTCATAGTAACGGCGTCCATAATGTCATCTTCCTGCGCTTCATCTACATGTCGCTCTGTTGTTCCACTAGGAAAAGTGCCATTTTCTCGCAAATAATTAAAAACTGACCCAAATGTTGGATGACTGGGAGTTCGACGATTAGGAAATCTCCTGCGGTATTCTCTACTAGCAGCCCTACCATTCCCATTACAGAATCCATAAACAAATATTATGTCTGCATCTTCTGTGGTCGAAAACTGATGTGGCATTTTGAACGAAAGTAATAAAAACTCTACCAAAACTAACACAATGTACTTAACGTAGATATGACAGAAGAAATATGGATTCTTGTACACATAAATAACAATTGATAATGACAATAATGACAATGGGTATAAAATATCAAGAAACGTCAAACGGTCAACGCCAACCTTCATTTTAAACTTTTTTAGATTTATTTTTATTTAGTACAGTTGATGCAATGTACTATTATTTGACATAAAATTTTAATCATTTACAATCAACAAAAACTAACACATATAAGAGGTTTGACTTTTTAATCAATTTAATTTATTATTTATTGACAATAATGCCCCAATACGATCTATGAGTAAAAATTTAAAATTGAAAAACAATTGATTCTATCGTAGAGATAATACAAAGTGACAGTAAAGATGTTAATTTTCTACGTATTAGATTATGTTGTAGGAACTCATTTTAATTAAAATGTTTGAAATTTATAACATTTGTTTAAATTAATACCTTATAATTTGATACTTCATTATGGTTGTTCTATTTTTGGTAAGATTTGATCGTTCACTAAAAATTTAATAAAAGTGCGACAACATTGTCGCATATGTCGTTTTCATTGGCTATTTATGTAGTTTGAAAATCACTTATTGCATTTTAAAATATATATATATATATATATATATATATATACAGGGTGTAATATTTAATACGAGTCCCTAAATTAATTTTTCCAAAGCCAGTCCTGGAATTTTTTAGTTTAGCTAATACCAGTCGAATGCTTGACAGTAGTGTACTGTATCATGCAAAAATTAAAAAAATCAAATGAGCTGTATAAACACTACAGTAAAATGAAATAAATGGTCAATTACACAAATCACCCTGTTAATTAATAAAGAAGAGGAGTTGAGATTTTTTAGTGGCCACATGATATGCTCCCTGAGGAACTCTACATATGGTAGAAGTATGTAAAGTTCCTCATGGGTCACCCTGTATAATTCGTATCAGGTGGTATATGCTTTATTTTGAAATAGGGTGTTAATCCTCAGCTGACAATTCATAATGAAAAAAATTCACTTCAATGTTTCTTACTCTTAATCCAGTAAAATTTGTTTATGTGCGTAAGTGATCTATCGATGCAAGAGGAGGTACTATAAAAGTGTGCTTGTAAAATATGAATATTTTGCAACCACTATGAAATCTACTTTTTTAAATATTATGCACAAAAGTTTTCCCATTCGTGCTTTGGTTACTAAGTAATCTAGCAGGTTGTACAACTCTTGTAACAACTGATCCATTTTTCAAATTAGTGTAAGGTGTTTGTGATAAAGATTCTCGTGATACTTGTTATTGGTTTATTGTCTTTTTGTAAATATGTTTAATTGCATTTTTTTGTTTCAAGTATTTGTTTGTTCTTCGCATGCTGAAAACATGAAAACAAAACAGAACACTGAATGTTAATTGCCAAGAAAGATATGGTTGTTAAATGTTGTGTATATTTGTCCACCTTATGATATAATTCACGATTTGTTTTACTCTCCTTTCAGCTACCAGGCGAGGCACTCAACTTGGCAGCAAAAGGGGTAGTACATACCTAACATTGATGTATGTCGTTCATATATAATTTGTATTATTTCAGCCCATGAACTACTCCTCTTCATCACCGGGTAATTATGGCGGTCCTCCAGGCTCGGCCGGTCCCGCAGGCCCAGGAACGCCCATAATGCCCAGTCCACAAGATTCCAGTAATTCCGGCGGAGAAAACATGTACACATTAATGAAACCAGCAGTGGGAGGAAGTATGCCCGGTGATTTCCAGATGGGAGGAGGACCAGACGGGTCGGGCCCCATGGGACCCATGGGACCCAACTCGATGGGGCCAGTATTAAACGGTGATGGTATGGATGGTATGAAAAATTCACCTGCTAATGGAGGACCGGGAACGCCGAGAGAAGACAGTGGTAGTGGCATGGGAGAATACAACATAGGATTCGGAGGACCTGGGGAAAATGTGAGTATCATTCGGTGATTGGTGCTTGCGCTTACAGGAGTCCCACTAAAATTTATGGTGAATGTATTTGGAAGTACTCACAGTTTACAATAACGGACGCTTGGTTTATTTTTATTCGTGAGCTTATAATATTCAATGTTTAAGACATGAACATCAACTTAATCATATCAGCTTTAACTTACTTTTGATGTGCATACTTTTTATCACGTTTGATCCCATTCGAAGTTTGCTCTTTCATAATTTCCCGAATAGATCTGTCAACAGATGGTGGTATGCAATTAGGAATTAACCGTTATACCTTATCCTGCTAAAATGAGAGCGACATATTTAATTTTCAGAACATTTGCTTCAAATTGCTTCTTTTTCCACTATTTTTTGTTGTATTTGACTCATCTAAGATTTATGCAATTTACGAGTGGTTAGTTTCGGGCTCAAACGTATACATCCATGATTCATTTCATATCATATCCATTTGGGTCCTTTGAAGTGCCAGGATTAAAGTTTTTCAATATATCGAAGAAGAAAAACGTGGTGGCTACTATAAAAATTATAGTTTTAAATATGCAATTACCTTGTAACATTTGGTGGTCCTAACTATACAACAAATTTGCACCTATATCTACGTACTAAGTCATGAGTAAAGCGAAATAAAAGAATATATGAGTAAATTCAAGTGTTTTGTACAACGGATTAGTTATATAAAAACCAAGAGGATTCTGAATTTGTATTCGTAAATCTCCAGATCAATTTGACTTTGTGGAAAATTGAGCAATTAACAAAATTAGTCTATACTATAAAACAATTGCATTTAGTTTTAATGTCATGGGTAGAGGGCACTTTCGAATAGAAAAAATTAAAATTTGTTTTTCTTTAAAATGTTTAATGGAAACACCTATTAATTGTAAATTATAATGGAACTGGATTAAATTCGTAACAAAATGGCATAAACCGCATGTTGATAGCTTTTGTCGAACTCGAAATATGAATAAAAACGAATAAACATAAGTAAGTATAGTATTGACTCACCCTTTATTATAACTTAAAATTAAATATGTGAAAGATCATACAAATATCTCGATCATTAAAACTTAATGTCCAATTAAATGTTCAAATTGTTTTCCATCGTTGTCCACACAAAGATGTAATCTTTCGCGCGTAGCTCCTTCAATCTCAGCTGTTGATATTCTATTTATTGCGTTTATAATGCGCTGTTTCATGTCGTCTCGCGTGGTTGGTCGAGTTTGGTACACTAAGTCCTTCAATCTTGCTCACAATTGAAAGTCCAGACATGTTAAGTCTGGAGATCTAGCTGACCATGAAAATATACTTCTCCTTTCAATCCATTTATTTGAATAACTTGCATACAAATAATCTCGAACTCGTCTGGAAAAGTGCGCAAGACACCCGTAATGTTGTAATATCATGTATCTTCTTGTTTGTAAGGAAATATCTTCCAATAAAACAGGCAACTGATTTTCCAGAAGATCCAAATATGTTTCTTCATTTAAAGTTCTATCAAAGAAATATGGACCTACGATCTTTCCACCAACTGTACCACACCAAACATTAAGACTTCATCTACCTTGAACCTGCACCTCATGTATCCAGTGCGGATTTTCTTCAGCCCAGTAATTCATATTATGCAGATTAACACCACCCGTACTATTAAACGTAACCTCGTCTGTCCACAAAATCTTTGACATGATATGCGGTTGTTCTTCTAGCAGACCTAACATCCAATTGCAGTAATCCAGCGTTGCATCAAAATCTCTCATGTAAAGTTTGGTGGAGAACTACGTGATAAAGATGCAGTCTAAAAAACAGAACAACAAATATTGGTAAAAAAGAAACCACTATATTTAGTAAAACTCAAAAAATCTTGAACAATCCACAATTGTTTCACAAGATAGATAGATAAATCGTGCATAGTATTTTTAAGAAACGGATAAAAGGATAAAAGCGCCTTGTTGCCGTTTTTATCGTAATATTAAAATAACAGTTGAATCTAAAGTTTAAAGGGAATTCCAAGTTTCTGACCTAAACGTTTACTTTATAAGATGAAGAACCAACCTATGATTAGAACAGTTGTTTTGGGTATGTTTAATTCTATAGAGATTTGCTGACTACTTATATGCGGATTCTGTTGAATTAAAGTAAGAACATTGATTGAATTATCTTCGATCATACCTCTACTACGTCGTTTAAAACAAGGACGATGAAAACTACCAGTTTCTCTTAATCTTCTTGCCTTTCTTTTAAATACTTCTTTGCCATAATGTCTCCTGTCAGGATGTCTTACAGAATATATACATGAGGCAATAGCGGCATTTTGGTGACATTCGAAATAAACTCCAATCATATCATACAATTCTGCATTTGATATACTCATCGCGAATTATTAGTACTGCTAATTACTAATATTACCTGAAAAAAGTGCAATCTTCAATTCGAATTATAATATAACACTTCTTAACAATGTTTTGACTGCTGTCAATAAATAAAAAATATGAACTCCCAGTCAAATTCATTGTCGTAGCCTACTTAGTTTCGAAAAAAACTATTTTTAATCATATGAAATAACAATGGTCAAAATAGGTATCAACATTAAGATTCTGCTGCTATAAAAAAAATTGAAAGTACCTACTGACTTATTTTTTAATTTAATTTATAATACAGGGTGAGTCAATACTATACTTACTTATGTTTATGCGTTATGCGTTTTTATTCATATCTCGAGTTCGACAAAAGCTATTAACATGCGGTTTAAGCCATTTTGTTAAGAATTACGAATTTAATCCAGTTCCGTTATAATTTACAATAAATAGGTGTTTCCATTAACCATTTTGAAGAAAAACACATTTTAATTTTTTCTATTCGAAAGTACCCTCTACCTATGACAATTAAAACTAAATGCAATTATTTTATAGTAGATGTAAATTAATTCATCCACACTCTTTCTAATGACACTAATTTCGTTAAAATCGGTTGATCCAAACCAAAGTTATAGGTATTTATCCACAAATACTTTCCCACTTTCCCCCACCCTTTATTTGAAAGAATAAAAAAAGTACTTGAACAACTTTGTACAGAATTTCTCTTTCTAGTTTACGTATTTAACACTTGATATAATTGGGCATATTTCACAAAAAACTGATTTTCAAATTTTTCTTCACAAGTTACTCCCCCTAGCGGTTAACCCAGAAACTTGAAAATTATTTCCAGCGATTTCTCTTGGCCACTTGTACCAAGGAATTGTTTCTCCTAAAGTTATAATATGAAGAGATCGGTTTATTGGACCACACGGTACACCAATTGGTATCAAAATGATTTTTCTTAATTATGTCTGCAACGACACTGTTTGTCCACCTCAATCTTGTTCTGCATTTTTCAATATTTCTTACTATACTACACAAGTACAAAACTATACTACAAAATAAAATACAAAGCATCAATTCGTACGTAATATTCATCCAATTATGTAATATTAATTTTCTATTCATTTGTACCACTCACAAATGTAGTAAAAACTTCTGGAGACTGTAAACAACGTAACGTAGAGTATCATAGTATAACACAAAAATAGCCTCAACAGCGTAATTCGTTTGGTTATTTGGAAGCAGTAATTTTCGTTGCCCTATTTGAATGAATGATAAAAATAATAAGAATGTTTGAATGGCTATAAAAATAAACTTCAGGCTGATCAAAACAAAAACAGCAAATTGAAGTAAACAGTACATTGAAATGTGTAAGAAAGCATGAGAAACAAATCAAATAATACAGAACAAAAATAGCAATTCGACTGTTCGACAATTAAAGCCATTTTTAAAATATTGTGTCATATTGCAAACAAGCAATAATGAGTTTTGGGTCTCCTTGGTACATTTCATGTATTTTATCTAGTACTACCGAGAAGAAGTCTATTTTTTCTCAATTCCTTAATATTGTAGTATGATTCCTAAACCGTAGAACACAACTAACACTTTCTAACAAACGCAAATGTTTCCAAAAAGTACAGCAGTTTATCATCATCATCATTGGCTCCACAACCCATGGTGGATCTTGGCCTGCTCAAGGATGTCTCCATTCTCTACAATTCTTCGCTTTGGCTTTCCAGTTTCGTACTCCCAACATTTTCAAGTCTTCCTCCACCTGATCATTAAATCATGCTCTGGGTCTGCTCCTCCTTCTCACTCCATCTATTCTTTGGTTACAAGCTGGACAGCTTGCTTTCGAGACTTTCGTGGAGTAAACTGGAAGCAACTCCATGTTTTCGTATTCTATCCCTTTACTCCTCAGTACAGCAGTTACCCTTGAATAAAATCGCAGGACTTCAGTCGAATATCTTTTAATTTGAATATCATCTTCCTGACTTTTTTTTTTGTATTTTTTTGGATTATACAATACAAACCTAATTGTTAGTTGGTCTCTATATTACTGAATAAAGGATCCTCGGCACTTTTCTTATGTAAAAGTGTTTTCAGCTAAATTGGCTGAAACTTTGATGGGAGGTAGATAGCTTTGATCGTGCTGATCAAAAGTTATCAGTGCGCCAAGACTCAGAAATCAATTCTTTCTGAGTTACAGAGGTTCAAAGTGTCGTGTTTTAGTCCTGTTGAATGATACACATTTGTAAAATATGCAGTTTTAGTAAATACGTGCAACTAACTTCAGGGAGTGATTCTGCATAAAAAATAATGACAGTTTGCTACATAAACATATATCCGCAAATGCTTTCTTTTCTGAGGTACGGGGTGTTGAAATTTATCTTACTAGTTATCCATGTATTTATTGATCCGAAAGTGGTTGAGATATGCAAATGAAATTTGGTGGGTTTTAGGAGTTCGTTATTGCGCATTTTTTGACATAGTCATCATTAGCACGCATAAGGGTAATGGTCTCAATTTTTAAAAAGAAAAAAATTGTACGCCACTGGGATTTTTCAAATTAAAAATTATTTTTGAAGTCTCATTTAATTTTTGTCAAAAAATATCAAAATTACC